TCCAGGGGCCGGGCTGGAAGGGACGAGGGACGCTTACCCCGGCTTGGCCCGACCTACGCGGTGGTTCTCAGGAGAGAACTGCGAGACTGACGGTTGAGGCCCGGAAAATAAAAATACGAGGGGAGGGGGCGTGGAGCCAGCGCAGGGTTCGCGGACGAGCGCCTCCGTGGGCGCGCAGGTGTGTTCAAGGACCCGCCGCCGGCCCAGCCCCGAGGCCTGATTCGGAACCCGGCTCTGGAAGAAGCTCTGCCACCTGCTTCATTAGAAGGGGTGGGGTGGGGGGAGGAGTAGAAAGAGAATCAAAATACGCCCCTGGCTCATTTCAGTTCGCAGTAGCTATTTATCACAGTAAAACACCGATTGCGACCAAGCTTCAATCTCTCTTCCTCTGCCCCGAAATTTTAAGGAAATACACTAACATTACAATGAAACATCCTCTCTTTTTTCTTCCACCAGCGCTGTCGAATAAAAATACATAGTGCGAGCCACAAATGCAAGCCGCTTATGTAATTATACATTTTCTAGAAGCCGCAGTGAGTGAAAAGAAACAAGTGAAATTAATTTTAATCATGCATTTTACTTAACCCAATATATACAAAATGATATAATTTCAACATGTAATTAATAAGATATTTTCTTTTTCACACTAATCAAAATCAAATGTATATTTCATTTACACTTTCTGCGAATGGCAGTTAGGATTAGTTAAGCACATCTCAAGTGCTCAATAGCCACATGTGGCTAGTGGCTATCGCACTGCACAGCAAAGTTCTAGACATGAGTAAATCGTTTTTGTCAGGCCCTGACAGTGTTAAAGCCAAATGAAGGATGAATGTAAGTAATGAAGAGAAAAGGAGAAAAAAATCTAATTCTTTACTGTTAAATTGGAACATCTCCACAAATTGATTGTAACCCTGTACTTTAAGCAGGGCTTAATGTTTTTCAATCTCGTCAACTTGAGAATGATTTCAATTAAGAACAAAAGCTCATGTTAACCTTTTATCCTCTTGCTAATACAGAAAACATTAACACCATCACCCAAATGAATAAGAAAAAATGGCTTTAATGAGGGCAATCATGAATAAATGATTGATGCTGTTGGTTGATGGCAAAAATAATGAAGTCGGGGAAAGAAGCAAACAAAAAGTGTGATTTATTGGTGCTGAGAAAGAATGTAGTATTCAAAGGAAGCCAGAAGTTGGTTTGGGTCCCCGCCTTGACCATTAATACCTGTGTAATCTTAGGCAAGTGAGGGATTTAACTTCTCTGGGCCTCAGTCTCCTACAAAGTAAGTATGTTGTAGCATTTAGCATATATTAAAAAGATGAGACAAGGTTACAATTTACAAATTAGATGAGGAAATGCTCATATCATTAAAATTCATTCTTTTATGTAGTTGTCAGTCACTTCTTGCCTGGACTTTTTTTATTATATGAGAAAGACCTACAAACTGCACAAATAGGGGTGAAAACTTTTCCTTTCTGCCCCTCTAGGTTCTTTAGCGGGGCTAATGACTAAGAGAGATGAGCAAGAGAAAAACAAATTTAATTTTTTACATATAGGAGCCCATAAAAATAGACCCCGAAATGACCAAAACAGGCAGCTTTTATACCTTTTAGATAAAGAAACAACAAATTTGTGAAGAATTGACAAAACAAAGGTGTTTAAGCTTGGGGTAGCAAATTAGTGAAGAAGTAAAAGGTTTATTTATACAATTTTCTCAGCAGGCCCTGAATTCCTTGTCTCTGGCAATAAAAATGCCTTCTGCTCTCCTTGTATAGGGCAGGTTCCTTCACGTGGAAGATTTATTTCCTGTTTCCAGGGGACAAAAGAGGGTCAGAGTGTCTTTCTTGCACTGGCTGTTTCTTAATAACTTTAATTCAAAATAATCAATATGCCAAAGTGGCATATTTTGGGGTGGCATATCCTGTTCTCTTTCACTTGAAAACAGTGAGAGTGTGTTATCTTGTATGTTCCATTGAAGTTGATGCCCCAGTCCTGTCCCAGGCTTTTGTCTGCACTCATTACTCTTTTGTTCCCCATAGAACTTTTATGATGCATAGCACCTTTTCTACACCTGAGATTTTCTTTTCTGCATCAGTGGTGACATCAGGCCATCTTTACAGCCCCCTTTTCTTACATAAGTTAGATAATTGAAATGGTATCCTTTGCCTTCTTCCTATTTACTATGATGTAACTTCAGCCCTATTCTTATGATATATGAACAATGGACTTGGGGATACTAGGAAACTACATGTGATAAAATTGCATAGAACTAAACGTGTGTGGGCATGCACAAACACATAAACACACAAATGAGTGCATGTTAAACTAAGGTAAGGTAGATTATATACTGTCAGTATTCTAGATGTGATATTGTATTATAGTTATGCAAGATGCTACCATTGAGTAAAATTGTGTGAAGAGTAAATGAGCTATATTTTATTTCTTACAACTGTATGTGAATTTACAATTATGTCTAAAAAAAGTTTAAAAGACCAAACACATATAAATAAACTTTGTTCTATCTTATCCCACACTCTCAACTATTTCCCAGATCATTTAGTTCACTCTCCTCTGTCCAAATAGTCATGGCAACTTACATATCAATATAGATCAGTGGGGTTATCATTAAGAGAGAGAAGAGAATTAATGGATGTGTTTGGGTCTAATTCCTGTAAATTATTTTCCTCTCCTAGTCTCTTGGGTACGCTATGAAATGCAGCCCCAGCCAGTCAACACTTGACTCCCATTTGGATTAGGGTTTCAATATATCTTTGAGTTCAAGATAGCAAGCAATGCTGCTTGGGATCTTCCTAACATCTAGTGCACTTAACTGTTTAATGTTGATCTCTTAGCTGGACCGTAAACTCCATGAGAATAAGAATTCATCCATTCACTCAGTCATTCAACAAGTATTTATTGCATGCCTACTCTGTGCTGGACACTGTTCTAAATTCTGAGGATATGCAGAGGTGTGAGATTGGTGGGTGTGAGTTGTATGAGACTAGGAGCAGGAAGACCTGTTTGATGACTGTAGCAGAAATTCTGGAGAGAAATGATGATGGCTACTGAGATTGTAGTAGTGAGGTTGGAGAGAAGGGCCAAGCTAGAGATGGTTAGGAAGAAGCTGCAAGATATCTGTGAAGCTGAGTGAGAGGTCAGAGATACAGATGACTCCCAAGATGCCTCAAGCCCTAAGATTGGGAATGTCGGGAGGAGCAGACTCCCACTAAAAAAGGGACTCTCACTAATTCCATTTGGAGTATTTCATTTGGCACCTGGAGCATCCAGGTGGAATTGTTCAGCGCACAGTTAAGTTATGGAGCTGGAGTTCAGAGGAATGTTGCCCAGAGTTAGAGATTTGATAGCTGAAGCTACGAGAAGAAATAAGGTTACTTAGGAAAAGTAAGAGGCAGAATAAGAAAGGGAAGCACCAAATTAAATGGCTGGGTTGAAGAAGAAGACTATTTACTCTTGTTTACATAGGACTAAAACTGAGAGAAGCCAGTCAGGAATAGAAGGTTAAAGAAGGAGAGTTCAAGAGTGTCAAATGTTGCAGAGATAGCAAATAAAAATGGGATTTTAAAGAATCCATAGAAGTGCACCATTTTCCGAGCTTGCACAGTCTAGTCACCTTGGTGGTTGCCTGCTTGAATGAACGACTGCCTCTGGGAACCAAGTACCCTTTACCAAGCAGTCTTCTGAGTAAAATTTGACTATCTGTCTAGATTTGTATTTTGAGAGGAACAGTAACAATAATAATAGCTAATATTTAGAATTTACTATGTTTCAAGTAAACACTTTTACCCAGGTTATATCATTTAATTATCTCATCTTCAAAACAACCCTCTGAGGTAGGTACTATTACTTACCTCATTTTATAGATAAAAACACTGAGATTCAGAGGGGCTACTTAACTTGCCTAAAATCGCATAATGAGCAGCTCAGTTTTGTTAACAAAAGTCCACAAGCTGAAACAATATGCTACACTTTGTCTTCAGAATTAGTGGATCACGCTGATGCAAAAATTCTATTCTGTTTGAGTTATATTTGTCACTATAAATTAATAAATAGGCATCCCAACATATTATGGGAATAATATAGATTTGTGAGTGATTTAATTGTATTAGGAAGTATAGACAAGCTCTAAGCTTGACAGTGAAGTAAATGGGAGAGATATGGGAAGTTTGCAAGGCAAATGTACAAATTGTAGGGTGCTGGAAACTTAAGATGATCTCCATGTTCTCAGTATAAAAAGAGGAAATGTCTTTGCTGTCAGAGTGGGAGACATGAAACAAGGGAGCTTGAGGAAAGTGGCAATGGCTGCAAAGCTGCTCTGGGAGAGGAAGCTGACTAGGAATGGGTGAATGTTCATAGGAGAACTGCTGGGAGGTACAGAAGGTCTGGCTGAGATTGGAGATCAGGATTTATAGAGACAATACTGAACGATTTTGTGATTTTTCTCTAGCAACTCTTGACAGCCCGGTGTAGGAACTGAGAAACTTGTTAGTGGGAGTGAAATTTCATTATGCAGTTAAGGCAGAAAAGTAATGACAGAAGGGGTTGAGAAGTGACTCTTCATGGTTTAAGCTAGATACAGAAAAGGTTGAGGATGAAGATAAGTAGTAGATTGAAAGAAAAAGGGGATCTAGAGACAGAAATAAGAGAGTTGGAAAGAAAGTAAGTGGTAGTCAGAGCATGAGATAAAGAAGTTGAGCATTTTAGAGGATGTTCTGGGTGAATAATTATACAGGCAATATTCTACTAATTGCTCCATTCAACTAATTAAACTGACGAACTTGCTGGCCAGCAGCAAGGTAATGTAATAACTGGAAATGCTATTTTCAGAGTCCAGATTTGGCATTAAAAAGACAATTAGGAACATCAATATTTAATGTATAAATGTCAAGTAAGAGATCTTTTGCTACTTGCATGTTCTGTTTCCTTATCCTCTGGTACCATCTATTCACTGCCCTTTTTGTTGGCATGAGGTCAAAAGCCAGTATCTTCTTTCTGTTTCAACTCTCACAGTGTTCTTACAATGTTTTTATTCCTTTAAACAACTATTTGTTGACTGCTTAATAAAACCAGGCAGTCTGTTAGGTGTTGATGACATATCTATGGATAAGATAAATAAATATCTATCCTTAGGAAGCTTAAGTATGACAATCAGACAGGCAATAATAA